GGGGGAATAAAGGGGTTAACTTTAAAAATAAATCATGGTTTAACATTACCCCCCCAGCCCCCCCCCCCCCCTTTCCAAAAATAATAAGAAATGCTTTACATGCACTTTGCCACATAAGCGTGGAACTTACTCAATATCTTCCCAAGGTAATTAACGAATTTTAAATAGTTTTCAGTTTTAACACGAGTATAACATTAAATCTACAAGTACCGGTTAGGCCAAAAAGTTAAAGACTAGCACTCGCAAAGACCATAGTTTTGCTACTTTAAATCGCTGCGGTGTACGCAGGCCACAGACCATGATTTAGCTAGGTACACCGCCGCGGTGTTCGCAGGCCAAAGTCAATAGTTTTGCTAGGTACACCGCCGCGGTGTACGTAGTGCCGGCCATACTTATAATACTAAGTTATACAAACATTAACTAGAGCAGACATGGAATCTACAAGTACAAGGTTCACTCCATTGTTGTTCATTATTTTGTCAATCCAAATGATGCTGGTGTCCACAAATACATAAAGTATTTTTTTTTTGTGGAGATAATTATTATATATATAAACTCACGGACTCACACTGATCACACTCTGTTTTCTTTTCCTACATTTACATAAAATTGTTAAAATTTTTCTTTATCTTTTATGTGCTGAAATGAATATGTACAATTACAATGATAACAGTGTCATTTAAAAAATCCATGGTAATAATCGGGAGCATTTCAAACCAGAATGAGAGGATTTTATCATAACCGACGCTCAAGTGGTAGATTAATTTAATAATTACAGTTAGAGTTACAGCTATATTAATATTATTATATTATATCGCAGCGTTGACGTTGAGTTTAGTGCCGGTCGTAGTCGCCGTAGACCTTTCCACATTGCTCGAGTAAGAAAAGTATTTCTACATAATCAAAATACCCCTTCCTCTCTTTTTTATTTTCAAAACTTACATGTTTATTTTCATTGATTGAACAGTGTATTTTTTAGGTAAAAAAATAATAAAACACAAATGATGATGAAACAATCTACAAGTTGAATGTAGAATGCCACTGCCACGAAACAGGCCACACCCCGTAACAACTTCCGGGTCAAATAGAATTTGTTTAGGGTTGGGGAACTTGGCAGCATAGCTAATCACACCACAATACTAAAAGATTTAATATCAGTACTTCCGTTTTCTAACTGACTTGTGACTTGTAAACAAAGTAACGAAAGACGTGAAATTCTTGTTCTTCTGTACATTCTGAAAATGGAAAGGACGTTAGAAATGCAACTGGAAGAATCGTATGTAGACTATTGTAGAAGAAAAATATATTTTACCCAATAATTATAATTGGCTTTTTTTTTTTTTTTAATTTAAAGCTACGAACTATAAATAAAAGTATAAAAGTAGGAAAGAGAATCAAATAATAACATTTTTAGTTAATAAATTAGTCTCATCATCATAGAGTCAGGCTCAGCCAGGGCATATCATGGCATATGTTATAAATAAGTTATATGGTGGTAGTAGTAGTAGTCTATGCCACCCCAGTCTATGCTCTACACCTATTATTTGCCTAGTCTAGGCTATTTGCCATCAAATAGGAACTAAAGTATAAAATAATAAAGCCATAGCATGGCAATCTTCATCCCAAATATGGGTTGATTTTGGGTTAGCATAGGGTGAAACATCCCGTAAAAACGGGATTGTCCCGTTTTATCATGATCATACCCAGTGTCCCAAAAAAAGTCTCTCGGGACGCTTAAATGTCCCGTTTCTCAAACCAAATACATTTTCAAATCACTGAAACGTCCTTTTTTATAATATAACTTCATCAAGTAATATTTTTGCTAGCTGTGTAGCCAGTGCCAGTAGGGATGTGGGCTCACATGATGGTTGCACTGTTCCCCCTCCATCACTCTGCGGATGCTGCGTTAATGACAGTGTCACGGCCATATCTCTTATTATGTTAATGTTGTAAAATATGTGTAAATAAATAATTATTCACTGCAAAATTATTGTTTTGGTTTATGATAAGTCTCAGAGTTTAAATTAAAATAAAAAGTGAAGGTATATTTAAAAAGAATTCTAGGTCTCAAAATAGTTAAAATGAGAATATTTCAATAAACAGTTTCTGGCGGAGGCCCCCGGACCCGTCTTTAACTGGAGGGTATCCCTCCCCCCCCCAAACCTCCTTGGGTGTGTCCCGTTTTTTTTCCAGTTCATGAATTGGTCACCCTAGGTTAGCGGTAAGGCCGGTGATGTGTTCCATGGTATATAGTTCATGGAGTTTCCCCTAGGTCAACTTCCGTCTACAGTGCCGTACTTAAAAGATGTCGATGTTTTTATTCACATAATGCAAGCTTTTGTTTTCTTTTTGAAATTTAGAGAGGGGTTTTGAGGAGGGGGCTCGCCTCCCCAGACAATATCTTTGGTTCTTATTTTGGTATTTGAAATAAGGGGAGGAGTTTGGAGAGGGTCCTCCCATCCCCAGTCCCTAGAAGATCATTCCGAATGCAATTTAAGCAGTAATTTCCTTTTTGTTACTGAAGTTTTAACATACAGGTGTTTCAATTTTCAACAAATCAAAATACAGCACCTTTGGCGCTCGTCTTTTTTTTTCAATGGTGTTGTGTCTTGGGGTATCAGCAAGGAGATGTTTCTTTTTTTCTTTCTTTTGATGTGTGTAAGTTGAATTTTAATACAAATTAACCCTTTAGTTACCGATGATGTCGGCGCAACGTCATGATCACCTACTTTCAATTACCAAGGACGTCACTTTGTCATCATAACAAAGAGTCAAAAAACTTATCTGAAATACCAAGGACGTCATGTCAGCGTCATATTTCAATGCTATATATTTTTTTAATCGTTAATCTATATAGAAGTTAATAAGCGAATCAGATAGAGTATGAAAAATACCAGAAATTTCTTCTTTAAAAAAGTTTTTATTGCTGAGTCAGCAAAAATTGATGCCAAAACCAACAGCAATGAAATGGTTAATGGAAAATTTCATTTTAATATACTTCATATTAACCGTATTTTTTATGAATACTCAGTAAAGAACAGGAATGTTATTACACACATCGTTCGGGTCCTACAATTAATAAGTCTATTCACCCTAAGTCCAGTACTGTCTAGTGTTGGGATTCCTCAAAGTGACGTCACTGCGCTTAGGGTGAGACAACTCTTGGCAAAACCTATACCGTTAACCCAAAATTTACCTCAAAACACTAGTAAAACAAATCAAATAAGAAGTTACTTGGCCATTCAATAATTTTTTATCCACTTGGTCAAAAATGATGTGTCACTCGTCACCTTTAAGAACTGTCCGAAAACATGTTCTTTGTGGCTCTAACACCACTGGAAAATACACAAGTTGCTTTGAAAAATGCTTGTTCCACAATTTAAGCCTGCATTCAAAGTCCCTCATTAGTCATTGTGAATTCCTGGGTGAATGGGATGTACGAAATCTTGGGCATGCACTATAACATCATGGTTATAAACTCAAGTATTTATTTGATTGACGTTAGCATAGCCAGCCCATGCATCAGTAACAATGACATTGCCTGGAAGTACATGAATGACATTATCAGTTGAAATGCGTTAAATGCATTCAGGTGTTGGCGCATTGCTCAGCACTACAATTGCCAACCAACATCGACCGGTAACACATTCAATAATTCCTCATGTTTATCAAAGTATATTAAACCCCTGCAAGTTTCCAAGCTACTTGTATGCTTTCCAGTGATGCTTTTATAACAACAAAAAATAGCATAGTGAGACTATAGTTTATCAAATAAGACTCTTAATTATTAATTGCATAGTTGTTCTCATTTGGCCTAGATAATTAATTAATTATTAAATTAATATAAGACCTAAAATAATTAAAAACAACAAAGATGAAAAAGTTGGTCAAAACTAAATTAACGAGGTCAATGTAAAAAAAAATACAGACATAGGCGATAGGTCTATTTTTAATAATAATTTAAATAAGCCTAAGGTCTAATGTAAATGACAGTTATTATGAACTGGATTTGTGAGGATGATTTTTTATTTATGTATGATATAGTCGAAGTTGTTGATCTTGAGTTGGTGAATACAGATATTGCGAGTTAGTTCATGGAGTTATCAGTTATAGTCAGTATGTTGAGTTCTTAGAGTGGTTCCTGGTTAGTGTGTTAAGTTCTGTTGGATCTTTGTATACTTTTTATTTTGTGAATAAATAAGAAGAAAATCAGACAGTGTGGTGAGTTGGTAAAAATTAATAGAACATATGTGGCAGAAAATCCACTTGACATTTTGAGCCAACGAACTACCTGCCAGAATACAGAGGGAGCTTACGGTCCAGGCTTTGACAAGAGTTGTCTCACCCCATGTGCAATAACGTCATGGCAGACCTAGATTTTAAAATGTACTGCAGAAGCCACTTTACTTTGAGTTTCATAGAAGTAAAAGTTTAAGTTTTGTTTGGAGCAAAAAACAATTCATTCAATGGGAAAAGTTGGTTCAAACTTTTACATAAACCTTAGCCTCTTTCCACTGACCTCAGAACTCAGAAGGTTAAAATTATTAGTTACTTTATTGGGCCTGAACTATTACATAATTTTGTCATATTATGCAAAAGAGATTCCTGTGAATTGTGATGTGGAATAGTTGCCATGGAATATCAATATGGTACACTCAAAACTTGAAAAAAGTAGTAGATGGTGCAACAATTCTAATCAAGATTAAGAAGTCAAAAGTTATACTTTTAAACAAATAATTTAGTGTACCAATAGGCCCCTAGTCGAGTGACTTCTGCCTTTTTCACTCCTTCAAACACTGCTGTACGCCAGTTGGAGCGATGTTCGGCAATGAACTCCCATTCGTTTGTTTCAATATTGGCTTCCCTCATGCTTCGTTTGCAAACGGCAATAAATCTCAGGCGCAGTCGTCCAATATGTCTTGTCCCCTCTGCCAACTCTCCATACAGCAGAATCTTTGGGATACGTCCTTCATCCATTCTCCGTACATGACCTAACCAGCAAAGGCGTGTCTTGATAAGAAAGGAGAATATGCTAAACATGTGTGCATGTTCCGAAACCTCCACGTTAGGCACCCTGTCCTGCAAACGAATGGGCAAAATGCGACGCAGACATCTTTGATGGAAGCTGTTGAGTTTCTGCTCCTGACTGGTATATGTGGTCCACACTTCGCTACCATATAGGAGCGTGCTAACTGATAGACACTTATTTTTGTTTTATTAGTTAGATTGAGATTATTCCACACCCGCTTATTCAGTTTAGCCATAGTTGCTGCAGCTTTTGATATCCTGATATTTATCTCTTCATCAAAGGAGAGAGAACTAGAAATATTGGATCCCAGTTATATGAAATGATCAACAACTGATAGATTATGACCCTCAATAGATATATATATATATATATATATAAAATAGTATGACTGTGTGTTGCATGGGCCCGGGAAAGAAAGATATGTTAACATACTTCTTAAAATTTGTCAAATAAATTTAATAAAAATTTAATTACTTTAATTGCTAGTTACTTGATAGTTGTATGCTCATTTAATTGATCCCTTTCTATTTCTAATTTTGTCTCTAGAATTCATAATCCTGGAATTACAGGGGTTCTTTGTGTGGATAATAATGGCCTATGTTTGGGAGGTAACATACCACAATTATATAAATATTTTTATGGTTTAACAGACAACACAATTAGTTACATATATTGTTGGTTCAAATTGAGCAACAAAAGTTTCTTGAAGTATTTTAATGTTAATAGATTTAAAAAAGGGCTGATGCTTCCTGATAGCCTGATACTCTGTATAAAGAGTGCTTAAATTGTTAATACTACAAGTCACTTAGCATATATATTTTAAAATATTAAAAAAAAAATGTTTGGTTTTTGATAAAGTTTTTAAAGTTAATTTAAACATCTCTATCATGTTTTGCAAAAAAAAAAAAAAATTATTTTAAATTGTGTTGAAATAATCTGAAAACTTTTACCACATATTTTAACCGGCTTGAGACAGTTGGGTCGAATGATAAAAAAGTCAAATGGCAGATCCATCAGCCCAATAATTCAGGCCTCGGGATTGGCTGGCTGGTCTTTTTACCAGCTAATCAGTTTACTCCCTGCATTTTTTGCTCATCTCACCATTTTAATGTTGTCTTACGTTGTAGATTACAGTGTTCTGTTAATTTATAGCAATTTTTTTGTACGTAGCAACCCCTATAAATGCTAAAAAAATATGCGACTTGAAATATGCCAAAAGTCATAAGCACCCACATTGGAATATTCAATGTAGATTTTCACACTGAACTTCATTTCAAATTTTTGTTAGGACTTATTTAGGCTTCAAGAATAAAACAAATTTAATAAAATTTCTTCTTCTTCTTTGTCTATATATTAAGGGCCTACAATCAATTTATTGATCATTCGACAAGTAAGACATGTTTATTCGAAGTTTACAAAAAAATTGCATGCATTAATTATTCAAATCAGGATATCTTATTGCATAAATGTTGAGGTTTCAGTTTGATTCATAACATCATATTAGTTTATTCAATACCCTACCCAAATATATATAGTTTTATATTTGTCAAATAATTAGGTTTTTCAAAAAAATACGTTTTTGCAACATAAGTTCAGGGCTTGTGAAAAAGGATCTTCTTGGCACACACAGTCCAAAAAGTCTCAGTCTCAAGAGGGTTAATTTACCTAGTACTCGTAATTACCTTTTCACCTAATTATTTCATTTGTAAAATAAATCCATTTCAGCCAAAGGTTCTGCACCCCTTAAGGCATGTGGCTCAATCAGTGCCCTGGCTGGCCAGGCAGCTAAACTGGCAAATCCAAATGGACCAACCCCTGTCATTTGTCTGGAGTCAGAACATGGGTAATGTTTATTTTTGTCTACTTATGACATCATTTTTAAATGTGTCAATTTCTGTAGGCAAAACTAGTTATCAATGCATAGATTGGTCCTACAGAAAGTCCTACACCCTACCTGCCAGCCTTTAAACAATAGACCTACAGAAAGTCCAACACCCTACCTGGCAGCCTTTAAACAAAAGACTTACAAACAGTCCTACACCCTACCTGCCAGCCTTTAAACAATAGACCTACAGACAGTCCTACACCCTACCTGCCAGCCTTTAAACAATAGACCTACAGACAGTCCTACACCCTACCTGCCAGCCTTTAAACAATAGACCTACAGACAGTCCTACACCCTACCTGCCAGCCTTTAAACAAAACAGTCCTACCACCTACCTGCCAGCCTTTAAACAATAGGCCTACAGACAGTCCTACCCCCTACCCGGCAGCCCTTAAACAATAGGCCTACCGACAGTCCTACCCCCTAACCTGGCAGCCTTTAAACAATAGACCTACAGACAGTCCTACACCCTACCTGCCAGCCTTAAAACAATAGACCTACAGACAGTCCTACACCCTACCTGCCAGCCTTTAAACAAAAGACCTACAGACAGTCCTACACCCTACCTGCTAGCCTTTAAAAAAAGACCTGAAGACAGTCCTACACCCTACCTGCTAGCCTTTAAACAATAGACCTACAGACAGTCCTACACTCTACCTGCCAGCCTTGAAACAATAGACCTACAGACAGTCCTACACCCTACCTGCCAGCCTTTAAACAATAGACCTACAGACAGTCCTATACCCTACCTGGCAGCCTTTAAACAATAGACCTACAGACAGTCCTACACCCTAACCTGGCAGCCTTTAAACAATAGACCTACAGACAGTCCTACACTCTACCTGCCAGCCTTAAAACAATAGACCTACAGACAGTCCTACACCCTACCTGCCAGCCTTTAAACAAAAGACCTACAGACAGTCCTACACCCTACCTGCCAGCCTTTAATAAAAGACCTGAAGACAGTCCTACACCCTACCTGCTAGCCTTTAAACAATAGACCTACAGACAGTCCTACACTCTACCTGCCAGCCTTGAAACAATCGACCTACAGACAGTCCTACACCCTACCTGCCAGCCTTTAAACAAAAGACTTACAGACAGTCCTACACTCTACCTGCCAGCCTTTAAACAAAAGACTTACACACAGTCCTACACCCTACCTGCCAGCCTTTAAACAATAGACCTACAAACAGTCCTACACCCTACCTGCTGTCCTTGAAACAATTGTCCTACAGACAGTCCTTGACCATACCCATTGCTCTTTATTGATTAATATAATAGTGGCCTCCCCCTAAAGAAAGAAATCAACCTGAGCTGAGTTCAGATGTCACACATGAAAGTTTGCTGGTGACAGTTTCTTTTTCACTCAGTACTATTAATATAAAACATGTGGAGTTGGGGGAGGGCTGGTTGTGAAGAGAAAGTAGGACACACCATAAACAAAATATGTATTTGAGGTGTTTTTTTTAAAAACACTTTGTGTGGCCTCCGTAAAGACGCTGTGGTTTCCCAGGGTGTCAGAGTACACAGTCTGGAAACCTCCGCCTTAAAGTCATCTTTAAAATAAATGATAAAAGAGTATGAGGGAATAAATTTTATTTCCCAAAGTTGCACTCTTAAATAGCAACATTTTAATATTTTAATACTTTTCTATGACCTACTAGGATTGTGCTCATCAAGAAGACAGACAAACTTACCACGGCACTGTTCAAGTCCAGCTGAGTTGATGAATTGGGATGTTATCTTGTGTACATTAAGTGTTTAACAAATCTTTTCATGTAGGATTTTAGTTGATTTATTTGATGTTTTTGGCAAAGATTTTAATGGCTGTAAGCTCTTCAAGAGAGATTTAATTTAAAAAATTGCTTTTAAGTGGTAGAGCTGAGTCTTAAAATATATATTGATGGGAAAATAAGCAAAATAAAAATAGAAAAGTGGAAGGGGGTTGGAAATGGTTTCAGTTTTATTTACATAACAAATTAAAACATCTGTTCTGCATTTAACTTATTTCACTTGTTTTAATTGACAACTGCATAAGTTCATCATGAACTTTTAATGTGTTGTTTTTTTTCCATTCAATCTTACATGTGTTAATGATGTGTGAATATGAAAAATAGATCATATAGATTGATGTTTGAAAAAAAGGTATCTATAACTGTGTGAATAAAAGGTATCTATTAATATTTGAATAAAAGGTATATATTAATGTGTGAATAAAAGATATTAATGTTTGCATCAAACATGTTAAATGTAATTGCTATGAGGATAATTGGATTTTCATATTTTAATAATTATTTAAGATTTAAAATTATAATGCACAGATTAACTGTTGAAAAAATTGAAATAAAATATTTAAAAAAAATAATAATTTCAAAATGTCATTACTTGAGTTGTAGCTTAGAGTCATAGAGAGGTATCTGAAGCTATGTCATTACTTGAGTTGTAGCTTAGAGTCATAGAGAGGTATCTGAAGCTATGTCATTACTTGAGTGGTGGCATAAAGTCATAAGGAGGTATCTGAAGCTATGTCATTACTTGAGTGGTAGCATAGAGTCATAGAGAGGTATCTGGAGCTATTTTGTACCAAGATCTGGAACTAACCTGTTTTTGTTTTAAAATAATTGTAGTGGGCAAAATAATGTAAAAAATCTTGATACATAAGATACCAGTAATAATATTGTGCTGATGTTTACTTAAGCTTTAGTCCATTGACTCCGTTTATCAACAGGTTGGGGAGCAATGGACCACTATCTACAGGTTGGGGAGCAATAGACCACTATCTACAGGTTGGGGAGGAATAAACCACTTTCTACAGGTTGGGGAGGAATAGACTGCTTTCTACAGGTTGGGGAGGAATAGACTGCTTTATACAGGTTGGGGGAGTTGGGGAGGAATAGACTGCTTTCTACAGGTTGGGGAGGAATAGACTGCTTTATACAGGTTGGGGAGGAATAGACACTTTCTACAGGTTGGGGAGGAATATACCGCTTTCTACAGGTTGGGGAGGAATAGACCGCTTTCTACAGGTTGGGGAGGAATATACAGCTTTCTACAGGTTGGGGAGGAACAGACCGCTTTCTACAGGTTGGGGAGGAATAGACAATGGAGGAAAGATTTCTGTTTGTTAGGCTGTAAACTGGTCTTAAATACTCTCCACTACGGCGAGTCACCACCACTCCCCTAAAAGTAAAAGGTACCGGGTACCTACAATAGTAATTGGCTATTCGGACCCGGCTGGTCACGTGAGGGCTTTATAATTTAGGTTGGTCACGTGATGGTTATGACGAATACTTCCTGTTGGTTTCAGGACTACCACACCTTGGGAAATTTCCCAAGATCTTGGGAATTCACGTCCCCCCTTGGGATCTGGGGAATAATTTTGAAAATCAGGCAAAACCTTGGGAAATCTTAACGGGCGGGGGGGGTGGGGTTTTTTAATTTTTNNNNAAAAAAAAAAGGGGGGGGGGGGGGTGGGATTTTTATATTTTTCGAAAAACGCAACAATATCTGATAAAAAATAAAGTGAAAATAAAGCAAAATAATTTTTAAAGTTAAAAGGCAAAAAATTAATTGTTTTAATTTTCTTTTTTGGTTTTAATTTTTAAATCCTCTCATAAAATAATTAAAAACTCTTCCGATATTAAAGTTAATATTGTCAAATATTGTGAATTATTAAAAAGTTAATAATTTTAAAAAAATTTCATTTTTTTTTTTTTTTTTTTAAATTTAAATTGAAGATTTACAAATTACTTCTAGGTTTTGAATGTTTATTAATTGGTGGGGGGGGGTAGGCTCGGAAAATTTATAATTATGCTTTTAGACCCGATACGAAAAACAGTACAAGCCAAAGAGAAAAGTTAAAAATTTTAAAAAAATTTTTTTTTTTTTTTTTTTTTTTTAAATTTAAATTGAAGATTTACAAATTACTTCTAGGTTTTGAATGTTTATTAATTGGGGGGGAGGGGTAGGCTCGGAAAATTTATCATTATGCTCTTAGACCCGATACGAAAAACAGTACAAGCCAAAGAGTGAACGATAGTGTTCAATCAAGAATCCATGCCATAGTAAAATTTGATTATTTCAATTACTTCTACAATGTGTTCAAAATATATTGCATCTGTAAAAAATCCAGCCTAATTTTCACCAATTAGAAAAAATATTTGTAGATTGAAACACAGGTAACTAAGATATTAAAAGTATAGGCCTAAGTTGTAGGATTATAAATGGACAATTCCTTTAAAAGATTTGAAAAATCGTTATAATGTATATTTACAAGAAAAAATAAAAATGATTATTGTTTTCATAATAATATCAATCCATTTTAACTACAATTATTATTAATACATTTTGCTTAATTGCTTTGCGAACCCCACTTCTAATCAACAGACTTACAATAATAAAATTCATTTTTTTATCAAGAACCTTTTGCCCTTGTAAAAGGAATTCTGTGTTGATTAGCCTTGTAAGCTTTGTTTCCAAGTGACTTCTATTACACATGTATTGTAGATGATATTTTTACCAGACAATTCGGAGATAATATTTAGTAGCCTAACTCCAGTGGGTATTAATATTTTGGATTATAAATTATTTTTTTAAACAAATTGCTTTGTTTTTTTTATGTGATAAACATTTTTTAAATGTCTTTTTCAATAAATTTCACTCAATTAATGTACCATGTTTTTCAGGGGCATTAATTCAATCTATTATTATATTAATTACATAGAAAACCCCACTTTTTAAAAAAAAACTCTTATATATTTTTATGATCTTGGGAATTCTTGGGAAATTTGCTCACCAAATCTTGGGAAATTTAAAAAAAAAGTGAGTGGCAGCCCTGGTTGGTTTGCCATCTTAGACTTAGAGCCATTACTATCAATCGAGAAATGTGTCATATTTTGAAGACTTTCGTGAACCGGTAGCGAGAAGAAACACGAAGTCAATGTGACGTACATATAAAAGCAAGTAAGAATACGTTTATGTTTATAATTTTCTTGTATTTTTTAATTCTATTTTAAATATAGTTCTATAGATAATCTACCACTTGAGCGTCGGCCAAGAAAAAAATCCAGCACCCACGTCTTTTCAATTTTGCTCATTCTTTGTGCACTGTAAAATAGCACTTTTTAAACAATCTAATCGATTTTTGAAACCTTATACTTATACAAGAAGACATACCTTCATACCTCATTAACTTCACTTGACTCTATCAAAACAATATTTAATTGATACAGCATAGACTCTGCACAAAACCAACTGCTACTTTAATAAGAACAGAGTACCAAGTAGGTTGGAGAACTAGTGAAAAATACCAACTTAATTATAAATGGCCTGCATTAAGTCCATTAATTTTTTAACACCTCAGGTTGCAGCAGGACACAGTCTGGGAGCCTCTGTCCTAGTCAATTACATGCCATAATAAACACATCTTTACATTTTCTCTTAACACCTAGCATCATCCTAATCCCCCTTCCAATAATAAATATTAGTATCTTGATCCTTTGAATGCACTTTATATAAAGATAAATCCCGCAAGTGCATGTAAAAAATATCAAAAGACTGTAATGGAATGGTTAGTTTCACTGATTAGGTTAGGTCTTGCACATTCCTAATTTAGTTAAAATTAGATAAAAATTCTTTAAAAATCTACATTTCCTTCTGACATATTGAGTGCATTTTTGCTGTATAAGAAATGATTAAAAAATTCAAAAGAGCTATTTAGATGGATTGCTTCTTATATTTAGATTCATCAGTCGCTATAGCATATATTTTTTTGGTTAAAATCATAATAGTAATAATCAAGAGTTACATCTTGCAGTTAAGAATTATATTACCATTGCCATTGATCTATGACAAAAAAATCTTATTTAAATTTTTAAAGATTCACTACTGTAATGCAGTTGTAGTTAAAATCTTGCACTGAGCTTGACGTGACCATTTTGAAGGTTTTCTTTTGTTCATTTAACACCACCTCCCTAATTCCAATAGTGGTTGGACTTTAACTATTTAATAGATTAAATAAACAAAGCTATTCAACTTTCCCTTAGAGAACCAGGAATTTTTTGTCGAAACACCCATGTAAACATGGCTGGTGTAAAAGCAATGATTACACCAAGTGTGTGATTAATTTTTTTGGTACTTTTTATGATGGTAACTTTCAGGTTAAAATTGTTCATAGGATATTGTCTTCATATTAATGCAAGCTTGCGCTCTAATATAATAAAGTTTCTGTCTTCTACTAATTAATGTATTATTTTACTTCCAGGTTAAAGTTGTTGTTTTCACAGAGATCACTTGAAGACCCCCATCACTGCCAGAATTCACAGCTGCTCTTATGATGAATGTGCAGGAGGAATCATGACATGCCAGGACAATGACTGGTCAACATTTTACTTCAGGTAAATCCAGTCCTTTTTATTCTATTTATTTTTAATTACCTATGCCACTAATTTAAAAAAAAATATTTTTGGTTTTATTTTTTCACATTTTAACTTGATGCTTGATTTATCACACTGGGTAATAATCTTGAGGTAACTTGCCATTATTGGGATCTTGGAAATTTATTCCCAATGGATCATAAGCCAACCACAATCTTAGTTTTGGCTAGGAAAACCCTGAAAAGTGTGTAATCTGCTTATTAGTGTACTCTCTCAGTTTTGGCTGGGAAATTATTTTAAAGGTTTTCTTCGAAACCTTAAAAATAATTGCTTATTAGAAAGACTTAAAACTACTAAACATTCAGTATTATGTATAACAGCGACTCACTTCACTTTTCTACATATATATACCGTAACCACACTGAACAGAATCAGTCATATGCTCACACACAGACACAATCTTATTTTTTTCTATAATAGTAATAGAATCAATGTACCTGGTGAAAACCTCCTGTGACCAACTCAAAGGCCCACTTATACCATTCAAATATTTTTTGTGTAAATAGGCCTTTGAATAGGGATCTACAGTACATGCTGATTTTTGATTGATAGCCATGTCTAGACTTAATTATGTGTTGATCATTCTTAAACATCATCCAAAAATTCAAATTAAATAATTATAATAATAAGTATGCCGCTAAATGGGAGAAATAGAGATAGATAAACAGATCAATTTGTTAATGCTGATCATTAGTAGGGCCCTGGCCTGTTTCACCACATCTTTCCATTCAGACATCATCATCATAGGTGCTACAGCCCATCATAGGGGCCTGGTCTGCTCTACAACATCCTCCCTTTTAAGCTGATCCATGACTTTACACTTCCAGGTGATTTTAGTCCTTTGCAACTCAATCCATATCAGTCTTCGTCGACGGATGAGCCGTTAACCCCTAGGCTTCTGTCTGTAGATCACTTTTGCTGCTCTACAATC